GCGGCCCGCCACAAATAAATCAATGTATGGGAAACACTGACATTGCCTAAAAACAAAGTGTATGTACTGTATGTATACAACATTACATTTCTTTAGGGTCTGTGTGTTTATTTTATGAAACCTTGCAAGGTATAAATGGTAACAGTTTTATAAGAGCAAGAGGCAGTCACTTAGAGTGGTCTTTCAGCAGCCAAACAGTCCTCCTGTGGCTTATTGTTTCATTTAACACTACAGTGCTGCTGCTGCTGCTGCTGCTGCTGTCTGTCCACAGCTGTGCAGAGGAGTGAGAGCGGGGGAACACACACCTATAGCAGCAGTGAGACACATGATGAAGAGCAGCAGCACACACCACAGCACCACGGTGTTCAGGTGCCTCTCCAGCTGGCTGCGCTTGTACCGCGGCCCGCTGTTGTTCATCATGGCTTTAGTCTCATGACCTGGGTCACACAGAGAGAGAAGGACACACACATGCTCAGTTACAGTATACACACCATTACACAGACAGAGGGCACTCAGAGTGGCAACGTAACATCTTCTCTACAGCTCCACCACACACTCAACTGAAATGTTGTTTTTATAAATGATTTCTCATGCGTAAACCCTGCTTCTGGTTCCAAACTGACTTTTTGTGTGTACTGTATGCTTTGTGACTTAATGCATTTAGGCAAGGCACGTTTATTTATCTCACTCACTTCAACCACAGTTCCAAGTGCTTTACAGCAAAGCAAAGCATTTAAGAAAAAAGTAACACATTGTAAAGTGGCATTTAAAACTGTCATTAAACAGCCAAGAGAGATCATAGATACAGCGCTGTTTAATAAATAACTATTTCTTTAATTAAAAGGCACATTTTTCTCATGGAATAGAAAACGAAGGTATGGTTTATTCATCAATGAACATTTTTTTAAAAACTCAAAGAGGTGGGCAGGTTTATTTTCTTATCCTAAAAGACAGTGGTCATTTATCAAACACTCATGGAACAATTATTATAACTTTACTCTGGTAACGTATGTGTTGGTTGATTACACGATCTTAAAGTAAAGCCTGCTTTATACCTTATTTTTATTGTTTTATATTTTTTATTTGCTGCAAGTCTGTTTCTTGGCATAAAGTTGAAAGAATAAGACTACACTTTTCATACAGTGCCTTTTTGCACCTAGTGTAAGTCGCTTTGGACAAAGGCGTCAGCTAAATTATATGTAAAAAGAAAAATTCTAAAATGTAAATATGTATATTTTGACATTCCAAAGACTAGGCTATACTTAAGCAAAACATACATGAAATGAAACACACAAATGTAATTAGAGTCAACTGGGCTGTGATAATAAGTCTATTCATTTCCTCATCAGGCAGCCTGGGATTTATTGCCAGCCGTCCTCCTTCCTGCATTTGGCAACTGTGTTGCCTTTAGCTTGGAATATGATTTTATAGCCTTTAGCCCCTATTAGAGTAATCATGTATTATTTTATGATTCTGGATTCGACAGATCCAAAGTCCCCCCCTTTATTAGTTACTGTTCCTAGGTTCGACAAGATTGACAACAAAAGGACCCTAGTTTGAATCATACCTCATTCACACCAACGCAACTCCGGTTCAAGCTCCGTGCTAGAGCTTTTCAGGTTCAGAACCGGTTCTTCGGTTTTGCTCCGGCTCTTTTCACACCGCCCAGAGTCGATTGGTAATGCGTCATTGCGTCATCGTTTGCGTCATTACGTAACCGTTTGCGTGCCTGCTTCATAAAGCCAAACCGCACGGATGAAATCAGTTGCATTCATTTCTTATGGCTCGATCTGCAGCTTTTCCGGAGTCATTTCTGTGGTTTAGACTATATTCTTATAAAAAAAGTGTCCTCGTGTCAATAAAGGTTTTTTTAAAACACAACTGCTTTCGAGGTCTGTCTTATTTCTTAAGGTGGACTGAACCATGAGTGTGGAGTAACGTTGTATCTTTCATTTAAATGAACTGTAACCTTCACCCAGGTATGTAACAGCTGTTCTCAAATGAACACGTGAAGTAAAGTTTAATATTTATAGTTTTATAGATTTATAATGAGTTATAATGAGAGGTGATCAACATGAATGCTCAGGTTCCACCTTAACACGCAGACACGTTGCTTCACCATGAGCAGAAAC